CCCTTCCAGTGAAATTTATCTTTCAGGGTGGAAAGTGTCTCTTTTGGCAGCACTCCTGTTTAGAGAAACCCAGATAAGGATGTTGCAGCAGTGGTGATCAATGCCAGTGTGCAGCTAAAGGATTTCTTAATCTGATGTTGAATAAATGTCAAAGCCGGGGGGGCTTGTTCTGTGAGAAAAATAATCCCTTTTTTCGTTTTTTGTTTTGTTTTCGAGACTTGGCTCTTCTGGTTGTGCCTGATGTCATAACTTCTTTCCCTTCCAGTGGAGCAAGATCTGGATCAAATCGACTTCATTGACAGCTGTGCCACCGAGGAAGAGGAGGAAGAAGTCAGGCAAGCCAAATGTCCGGAGTCAGACAGCCTCAGCACACAATTCATGGCCTATATTGAACAACGCCGAATCTCTCACGAGGTGACGCTTCCTTTTTTTAATTGTGGATGTGGGTGAGTGGCAGTGGTGGGATTCAAAAATTTATTTACTACCGGTTCTGCTTGGTGGGCATGGCTTGGTGGACATGGCAGGGGGAAGGTTACTGCAAAATCCCCCTTCCCTCTCCACCCCACTAACCTGCTTTCCAGCTCCGTTCTCCTGTGCAGGCAACCAAAGAAGACCCAGCCAATCAGCTGGGACTTGATGGGAGGCGGAGAATAGATGGGGGCGGGGCCAATCAGAAGTGGTATTTACCGGTTCTGCGAACTACTCAAAATTTCCGCTATCGGTTCTCCAGAACTGGCTGAATACCACCTCTGGTGGGTGGGTGGGTTCTTGCATGCTGTCCCTTTGCTGTCAACTCAGTTGATCTTTCCCACCTGATGGGTTTTGACGAGCGTGTGTCCAACGTTTGATTCGAGTTTTAAAACCCGAGAATGAATTTTAATGAAGGAACAAGTAACTGAAGCTAATCTTTTACAAAGTGCCCTCCCCCATGAATGAACACCATTGAGCAAACAAAATTTCTGTTGCTCAACGAGACAGTTGCGAAGGGAGTTTTGTCCCATTTTATGACCTTTCTTGCCACGGCTGTTAAGTGAACCACTGCGGTTAAGTTTATGGCTTGGTTGGTTTGGCTCTGCAACCCAACAGGACAGACACAGACTCCAGAGGGTAATTAGGACTGCAGAAAAAACAATGGCTACCCACCTGCCTTCCATGGAGGACCTGTATCCTGCACGAGTCAAAAAGAGGGCTGTGAAAATCCTTACAGACCCCTCACATCCTGGACATAAACTGTTTCAACTCCTTCCCACAAAACGACGCTATAGAGCATTGCACACCAGAACAACTAGACACGAGGACTCAGTTTTTTCCCCAACGCCATCACTCTGCTAAACAACTAATTCCCTCAACACTGTCCGACTATTTACAAAGTCTGAATTATTATTACTGTCATCCTTCCTATTCCCTATCTTTTCCCACCTATGACTATAACCCTGTTGCTTGTATCTTTACAATTATATTGTTTTATTTGTTTCCTAGTATGATTTGATTGCTTATTTAGTATCCTATGACTATCACTAAGTGTTGTATCTTATCATTCTTGCTGAGTGCATTTTATTTTTTCTTTGTGTACACTGAGAGCATTTGCACCAAGACAAATTCCTTGTGCGTCCAATCACACTTGGCCAATCACACATTCTATTCTGTTCTATAAAGAATTAAGAGATTTAACCTGGAAATAAGAAGACACTTTCTGACAGGGAGAACCATCAACCCATGGAACAGAAGTTGCCTTCGGAAGTTGTGGGAGCTTCATCACTGGAGGCTTTCAAAAAGAGACTGGGCTCTCATCTGACAGAAATGGTGTAGGGTCTCCCGCTTGGGCAGGGGGTTGGACTAGATGACCTCCAAGGTCCCTTCCAACTCTGATGATCTGTTATCTGAATTCTATAAAAAATAAAGAATTCTATTAAGTGAATCTGCCTCCCCCATTAGACTTTGCTTGTCAGGAGGTCACATGACCCCAGGATACAGCGATCATCATAAATATGAGTTAGTTGCTAAGGGTCTGAATTTTGATCACGTGACCATGGAGATGCTGCAACGGTCATAAGGGTGAAAAATGATCGTGTTGCTTTTTTTCAGTGCCGTTGTAGCTTCAAAGGGCCACTAAATGAATGGTTGTAAGTCGAGGACACCTAATACAGCCATTGGTTTTCAGAGAACGGATTGTATGTCATTGTGATTTTTATCTTGGAGTTATTCCTGAGCTTTTGCGGATAACAGGATATTACATTCAGTGCTTATCTTGGACAATATTTACTATTTCAGATTTTGATTTGAAAGCAAATGATATTGAGCAGCCTCCATCGTGGTTAAAACGCCAGCATAAGAAAACAGATGCATATTTCGGGGAATTACAGTCGTCTCCACTGTGCTCCTCATTGTGAAATGGCTCTCGGGATGCGTATAGGCAAAACTCTACACATCGTGTGGGTGTGCTACTGAAACAATTCTGTGATTTTAATAATGTTTGGCGTATCAAATTATTGGTTGCCTTAATAAGGCAGCCACAAAGAAAACAAGGAGGGGGGAGATCTGCAGCCCAGCCTTTTCGTATTTTAATTTTTTGATGGATCACGTTTTGAAGCACTCCCCATTTCTCCTCTCCTCTACAGCTAGTCCTCAGCTTACGACCACAATTGATCCCGAAATTCATGTTGTTAAGTGAGAAATAATTTGTTCAGTGAGTTTTGCCCCATTTTATGGCTGTTCATAGCACATTGGTTAAGAGTATCACCGCGGCTGTTAAATGAGTCAACATGATTGTTAAGTGAATCAGGCTTCCCCATTGATGTCGTTTGTCAGAAGGTCACAAAAGGGGACACGGCCAACAGTCATAAATGTGAGTCAGTTGCCAAGCGCTTGAATTTATTCACATGACCATGGGGTGAACAAGTGTGAACAATGGTCCTAAGTCCCTTTTTTTCAATGACGTTGTAACTTCAACCGGTCACTAAATGAACTCTTGCAAGTCTAGGACCTACCTATATTTGTAAATTGGTCAGGGTACAAATCAAATGTTAAAAGGAAAAACTGGAAACAAAATTTGAAAAAGAGGCAAGTTAAAATCCCAGATTAAAAGTTAATTAAAATCCAGGAGGGAGGGAATGCTTTGCCCCTCTGGGGAGAGGCGGTTCCAGGGTTTCCCCAAATAAGGTAGCTTTCACACTGCACACCCTCAAACAGATTTTTTTTTTCCATTTTCTTAGACAGAAATGTGTTGTCACCATAAAAGAAAATAAAAAGTATGTGTCCTTTTAAAATAGGTTGGTGGTACCCCTGTTAAGGTTCAAAAGTCATAGGTTGCAAGCAGGCCTTGAGTTCCGTCCCTAAGAATGAAGAGAAGAGAAGAAAACAGAACAGATATTGGATGAAGAATAGAATAGAATAGAATAGAATAATAGAATAGAACAGAACAGAACAGAACAGAATAGAATAGAATAGAATAGAATAGAATAGAATAGAATAGAATAGAATAGAATAGAACAGATATTGGATGAAGAATAGCATAGCATAGATATTTGATGAAGAATAGAACAGAACAGAATAGAATAGAATTATTTTATTGGCCAAGGAATTTGTCTTGGTGCAAATGGTCTCAGTGTACATAAAAAGAAAAGACAATTTGTCAAGAGTCAAGAATCATCAGGTACAACATTTAATCATAGTCATAGGGTATAGTAAGTCCTTGGGTAGTTTGAGCTTCCTGAGTTGGCATAGAAAGAACATTCTTTGTTGTGCTTTTTTGATGATGTTTTTGATGTTAGGTGTCCATTTTAGGCCATGTGATATAGTAGAACCTAGAAATTTGAAGGTCTCTACTGTTGATACCGTGTTGTCTAGTATTGCAAGAGGTGGTAGTATGGGAGGGTTTCTTCTAAAGTCTACCACCATTTCTACGGTTTTGAGCGTGCTCAGTTCCAGATTGTTCTGGTTACACCACGAGGCAAGTTGTACAACCTCCTGTCTGTATGCGGATTTGTCATTGTCTCGAATGAGACCAATCACAGTTGTGTCACCTGCAAATTTCAGTATTTTAACAGAAGGATCGTTTGAGGCAGGACTAGAAGTCACCATCTCCCAGTTTCTAGCCTAGTTGCCAGATGACTTTTGTCCCTAAAGCAGGACTAGAACTCACCATCTCCTGGTTTTCTAACCTAGTGCCTTAACTGCTAGACCAAACTGGCGTTTCATCGTGCGACGGGCCAATTGACGTCCTCTTTGAAGGGTCCATCATAATTTTTTACACTCACTAAATGTCGCCAGCTGATGACTCCCTGTAGAAAAACTTTTGAAGAGGTTTCAGTCATGGGTCAAAGCCTCCCCCACCCCATAGTGCCCCAGGAGCTTCCCAAGGGAAGGCTGAAATAAAAGGCATCCTTCAAAACGCTGCCTCTGTTTCTTCCCAAGAAACAGAGGCATTCCATCAGCTATGGAGTTTATTCTTAGAACGTAAATTTGAACAAAAGATGGTTTTATTGGTTGGTATTGGCCTGAGGGTATTGGGCTGGGAAGGCGACAGTGGTTGCAGTGTTTCCTGTCCTGATACTCCGGCTCCTTTGCTGGTTTTTACGGAAAAATGCTAGAATGCAAAAAAAGATGGCCCTGTCTAGTGTGTTAATATAATTAAATGCAGACACAAATTAGACCCAGATAATGGACAGTTTCCTTCTATTTTACGGCATTGCAGTTAAACTTGAAACACTAGCTAGGTTTGACTAAGGAAGTGGACCGAGTTTTGGTCTTAGTAAGAGAGCTCAGCCATGCTGGAAAGGCTGAACCGGGATACGTGGTGGTTTCCAGCTCACTTTGGAGGGGGAGAAGCTTCTCCCAGGGTCTGCCAAGTCAGGCCTCCCAACAGAGAGAGGTCCTTAAGAGCCTGGGTCCTTGGTAGTACAGGTAGTCAGAATAGTAATGGGAAGGGACCTTGGAGGTCTTCTAGTCGATCCCCCTGCTCAAGCAGGAGAACTTACACCATTTCAGTCAAGTGGCTTGGTTATTAACTGAGTTTTTGCCCCCATTTTCTTGTCACAGTTGTTGAGACTTTCGAGAACAGATTGGACTGCCATTTGTCAGAAATGGTGTAGGGTCTCCCACTTGGGCAGGGGGTTGGACTAGATGACCTACAAGGTCCCTTCCAACTCTAATTATCTGTTATCTGTTAAGTGAATCACTGCAATCGTTAAGTTAGCAACATGGTTGCTAAGTGAATTTGGCTTCCCCATTAACTTTGCTTGTCAGAAAAGGCGGTCACATGACCACAGGGCCCTGGGATGCTGCAACCGTTGTCAAGCATTCATGCGTAAATCCCGTGACCGCTGCAATGGTCATAAAGGTGGAATACATAAGTCACTTTTTTCAGTGCTGTTGTAACTTTGAACGGTCACTAAATGAACGGTTGGGAGGATTAC